TTTTTGCCCCAAATTGCGATTCCTGCAGTGAATGCTTCCACAAACACATTTGCATTGCAGTGTGTAGAGTAGAGGTCCCCTTAAATATGAAGCTCACAGTTTACCTCCTTAAACATCCATGTGTCAATCACTATAATCCATATAAATCTTCTTGCAATCAGTAATAGCAATATATGCATGTATATATATATATATATATATATATATATATATATATATGTATATTTGGTTCTCAAAGGATTTTCTAGGCTTATTCCAAGCAATCAAATACATATGTGTTAAAATAACCATGGTGCTGTAAAGCAGTCTTGTAAATACCATATGTCAGAGGAAAAAATACACAGCTAAATGCATGTCGGCATCAGCTCCTGCAGTTTCGTAGGAGTTCTGGCCATGGAAGTGAAGCAAAGCTGGACCAGCTGGAGGTTCAGTTTTACATAGAGCTTATGCTGTGCTCTGAAAAGACAAGAAAACTGACCTGGGCTCAGCAGACTGGAATTAAGTTCCTGTTCTGCTGCAAATTTCTTATATTGGAAGCAGTTACATTTCATACATTGTGTTGCATAGCCACTTAAGCTTTTTGTATCTCTATTTCCAGCAAAACAGAAATAACAGTACTTCCTGTATCCAGTCCTTACTCAGTCTTGTTTATCTAGACTGTAAATTCTTTAGAGAGGTAACTGCATAGGGTAAAAACTTTGTGATCAGAGACTGAAATAGGAACCTGGAAAAAAACTTCTAGAACTACATCAGGAAGGGGAACTACAGGGAAAGCTGGAACTGGGAGAAGAGCCAGAAAGAGATTATTCATCTATCTTACTGTTCCTGGAGCAGAAATTAAGTTTCAATCAATAGACCCAAAATCTACATTCCTTAAACATAAGTACATCAGTAGAGGTGCAATCAAGGCCCACGGTGTCTTGGTATCCCCCCGATTGAAAACTCTTTGCTGAAGAGGTAGTACAGACCTTCCCTGAACTCCAGATCAAAGTTTTGATAAAGCCAAGACATGTAGGTTTCCATGATCTCTTTAATCAGTGCAGATGTTGGAGAAGAAGGGAATGAAAGACACTTTAGTAAGTACAGTAAAGGTATCCATGTCTTTTCTTGGTCATTTGCCAAAAAGGGGATCAGGATATGCATTTTCCAAAGAATGGATACTCAACCCCTGATTTTTTAAAAAGGATACATGTGAAGAGAAGTTGCTTGGTCAAGACTGTAAGTAACTCTACTGATATGGATAGAAACTTAAAAACCCAAGAAATCAATGGCTTACCTATTTAGATAAAGAAACATTGAGATACTTGGCTGTGATCCCAGTTTTATCTTCTCTAAGAGTTAGAGGTTTTTAACTATGCAACATATAGCTGGGCATTAAAGATTTTCACAGCCTTTTTAATCTTAGCTTGTCTGTCTTCATGGATTTGATACCAAAACTAAATCAGGTAAAAATCAGCTGAATAATTAAATCTGCTGGGGGAAAGGATGGAACCTATGATTTACCTATATAACCTGTAGTATTGATAGAACCTATGGCTTACAAAGTGGGGGGAGGGAAGCAAAACCAAAAAGTACAAACCCTGCAAAGGTTAGATAATGACAAACAAAAGAAAACAACTGATTTCCTTTTTCTTTCCACTTAATCTGATTGTAAAGTAGAAATGGGAAGAGTGATGAGAAAATCTGCTTCTCTGTGTTGTAACAAATAAAAAATGATTAAGCTATACTTAAGATCAATAGCTTTGGATAAACCTGTTTTTGAGGCTTGGCCAGAATGTCTGTTTCATCAAAAATCATTAGTAGGATACATCAGTAGAGGGACAGAAAATAAAATTCTATTTAAAAAATTCAAGTGCTTTCTGAGCATATGGAGCCTGGCAAAAATAGTCCCCTTCTTACAATAGTCCCCGATGGGTGAGATTTCTTCAGAGAAATCTTGGAAGAATTGGTGGTAAAAGCTGGAGAAGCTGGGAAAATGCTGAATCCAGCAAACACTTTTGGTGACCATAAATTCAGCCTGTGACTACTAAATCCTTCTTGGAGTTATCAAGTTATTTTAGAGAGATGATATAACCCAGATATTTTGTGAAGAGATCAAAGACCATTTGAAGCAGTACTTTTCAAAACAGCATACATCTGCTGGTGACAAAGAAGAACCTCTGGAGTTTCTGTGTGTCTATGCTACAAATACATTACCAAACAAGCCCCTAGAATAGCTCTTAAGTTCCAATTCAGAAAACATTGAAATTTAGCAGGGCAATGCATGTATCAGAAGCAATAAAGAAATACTCAGCGGGGCTATGTGGCTTACAGGTCTGTTTACTGTTATTTTGAACTGCTTTAAGTTTCCTTCAAGTCTAGTTTTGTAAATGCTTCATCAATCTGATGATACAGTACCTGTCAAAATGATACAGTTTTTCAGATATCAATGACAACAGTCTGGTTTTGGTATTAATCTTATGTATTTCTTGATAATCATGCCTGGATTTAAGGGAGATATTAGCAACTCATAAATTTGAGATGTGATAGAATTAATTTTCTAGGTTTAGAGAAAGTGAATTTTCATTTTGTTTTAGCACTTGTAGGGAGTAAATGCACTCATGTGGCACCCAGATACTGCATCAATACAACCCAAGGCAGACTTGGTGTGACAGGAGGGCACTGTGTCTACATTTTCTTAGAGAAAACAACATGGGCACCGTTTTAGAAGTCATGAGTATTTCTTGTCATTGCATGGCATGTCCACAAATCTTGTAACCTGATGTTACTTTTACTGAATGTTACTTCAGTTACCTCGCTGAAGTACCTGTACTGAAGAGACAAAAGGTATCAATAATACTGTTCTTTGTTCTGAAGAACTTGGAAATCATTGAAAGAACAGCTCAGTTCCTAGAATTGATGAAATTTCTTTGATTTCTAGCTGTGGCAGAACTACTGACTGCAGGCATGGATTTGAGAGGAGGTTGTGTGATAGCATTTCCCACGATGTTCATGTGGCGAGATACCACTCGACTTTTCTGTTTCAGCTCACACAGGTGTCTATACATATCCAGAAGGAATTAAAACAATCTAAACCCGAGGGTGTCCCTAGCTCTGCCTGGGTGTTTTCTTCCTCAACAGCTGCAGTAAGTGACAGTGCCATAGAGCCATGTTTTGCGCTGAGTCTGTGACTAGCCAGCAGGATTTTGCCCAGTTCTCAAATACCCTCTATTGCCCTCACTTTCATTTTTTGAGTTTCATTTCTGTCAGCAAAATTTAACTGAGGTATCCCTATATAACATACTCTCACTGGGAAATATTTTCAATATTCTATAATAAGGGTCTACTTTTTATTTCAAGGGAGAAAAACTTGACACTCTCTTGACTGGAGGTGAGTTCTCAGTATCCCCCTGGCACAGTCCATGCTAGGGCAGAAGATTGATCCAGAGAAACAAATCACAACACTTTACAGAAGATCCCGAGTGGCTGATTAACCCAGAGAAATTTATCTGACTCTGGTGAAATTAGACTTCTGAAGAGCTGTGCATCCATCCTTCTGTTGTCCCTGATCAGATTGCTAATGGAGACAGAGCAGTGGACTCTGTCTGTTGTGCTGGTTTTCACCTGTGTGTGGAGTTAAACAGAGACCCATCACAAGAGCTGAAGTGACCTTGGTGTGACATCCTACCGTCTGTGTTGTCCAGGTTTGTAAATACTGCACAGAGCGTGCATGCCATCCATAGACAGGCTGCCCCACTCAGTGACGTTTTGGCAGCACATTTGTCATTCCACTAAGGCAGTCAGATCAGGATCTTATAAAGCAGTCAGGAGATAAGGATCCTTGTCAAAATCTCAGGAAGCAGACTAGTAATCTGCAGAGGCCTAAATAGGGCTTTTAAAATTGGAAGCAGAACTGACTGCCTAGACAGAGTTTTTTGAAAGATAAACAGCGTCAGCAGGCTAAATGGATTTCAAGCACAGCTTTAATTGTTTTTCAAACGAATCAGCAAAGGGCACCCTAGCTGGAGCAAGCTCTGAAGTACAGCAAGGAAGATTTCAAGTGTACAGTGGTTTTGAAGATAGTCAGGCATTTCAGTGCTAAATGATACTGTAGTAAGTAATGAAGCTTTTTACTGTCGGCATTGACAATACTGTAGTCTTTGAGTCAATTACAATACCTGCCCTATGTGGATGATGAATTTCACCACCCTCATTAAAATTGACAGGCGCACTGATTTTCAAACCTCAACGATTGTCTCTGCAGCACACTTGATCAGAAGAACAAGTTGTTTATTGCCAATACTTACTGTGTGTGGAAAACCCCCACTCTCTTCCTTTCCCCCAGTCTTCCCCCTCCACCCAACCATCCCGATAGCTTGTGACAGACTAACAACACTTCTGAGTGGATTTTACTGTAATTCCTCAGGATCCCTTGGACCTTGCATAATGGAATGTTTTTGGGTCACCAAATCATGTTTCCTAATTATAGGAATGATAAGAAAAAAAAAAAAAAACCAAAGAAAAACCCCACCAGATATAATGTGAAACGATTCCCTTATACTGGCATTTTTCGATTTTAGAAACCTGGGATAACCCGCTCGCTTCCATCTGTTTTGGGCGCGCACTGTTTTAACCTTGAAGTCAAAGCTTTCCTTCACCTCCTCTTCCTACCTCTCTCCTGCCAGCTCCTCTCCTACGGGAGCGGAGAGACCCTCCTGCTCCCAAGCCCTTCTCGCTGGGGAATTAATCGCCCCCGCCCGCCCACGCTCTGGGTTTTGTTCCCCTCGCGGGCAGCAGAGGCGATCGGGACGAGCGAAGGCTCCGCCACCGCGGTCACCCCCGCGACGCCCCCGGCTCCCTCCGCGCACCGTCACGCCAGCTCCGCACCGCCACCGGCGGCAGCGCGGCCGCGGCCGGGCCGGGAGGGGAGCGCGGGGCGGAGCGCGGGGCCGCGGGCGGGGCGGGGCGGGGGCGGGGGCGGGGGGAGCGGCGGGACGGGCGCCTGTTGCCCCGAGAGAGTTAACGGTGCGGGGAAACTCGCTCGCCGCTCCTCCGCCCGTGCCGGGCGCTTGGCAACCGGGGCGCCGCGCATGTGGGACCGCCGGGGGCCGCCGCCCCCCCGCCGGGCCCCGCGTCCCCCTCCCCGCCCCGGACAAGGCGTTTAACGTGCCCAGGCGTGAAGTATGGCATGCAAAGATGGTTTCTGCCAAGGAGCCAGCCATCGCCATGTCCTCGGGTCTCTCCATCGCCCTCCTGCACTGCCTGTGCCTGGCGACCTGGTGAGTAGCCCGGCGGCGGCGCCGGGGGACCCGGGCGGCCGGTCCGGTGCCGCTGCTCGCCTCGGGCTCCCGGCGGCTCCGCTCACCCGCTCCCTCTTTGCCTCGCAGTCTCACCGGGCCGCCAGGGCAGATCAAAAAAGAGGAGAAATTGTGGCCGGAGAATTTTACCAACATCCTGAACAGCCTCCTGGATGGCTATGACAACCGGCTGCGACCGGGATTTGGGGGTACGGTGGCGGCGCGGTGCCGGCGACGGGCGGGGGGTCGCTGGGTTGGGGCGGGGGAGGCAGCGCTCACCGCTCGGACCGACCTGTTCGTGACCGAAAACGTAGGAGTGTGTCCCCACTCCGTGCTCCGGGGTCCGAACTCTCCGGGAGGGGCCGGAGCGAGGCAGCGGCTGGCCCGGGAGCCCGGGGGGTGCTGCGCAGTCCCGGCCGTAGGGGCCCCGCTGGGGCGGTCCCGGGCTCAGCCCCCGCTTTGCTGCTCTGCCCACATCCCGGGCTCGGGCTGCTGCTGCTGCGCTGGGGGAAAAATAAGCACTGAAGCCGGTGTGCGTTGGCTTGGTGGGGACGGAGTGACCTGTCTAACACCCAGATTCTTCTCATTCTTGGCCGGTTTTGACCCGTGAATGCCGCGATCGGGTCCTAATAGAAACAATGTACTTTAACCAGCCTAGGAGATTGGGTCTGATGGATTCTGTTCCCCTAGTTAGGAAAAATTAGAGCCCAACTGCCAGTTCTTCGCCACAGTTGCTGAAATTCCAGCTTTGATTTAGAAGTAGTAGACTTAATTGCTGTATAGGAATCAGACGTGGCAGGGTTTCAAATTTGCCTTCACCTGTGTTCTGTGTGTGTGGATTTTGGGCCTCTTCCTTTCCCCAGGCTGTTAAGATGCAGTTTTGTGATGCTGAAGAAGTAGCCAAGCTTGCTGTTCTCTATGATTTTGATGTTTTTTTGTGTAGGGACTTGGAACTAAAAATCATTAAGATCCAGGCAAAATAAAAGTTTATTTTGTAATCTGAAATGAAGATGTTAAAAATGCAAATTTGAAAGTAAAAGTAATATAAAAAGGTTTATAAATAAATGCTATAGACCTTTTTATGATGCTTAAAGCTGTAACAAGGTTTTTATAGGCTGCTTCCAATACAGGATTGAATGAGACCCTTGCGTAGGTTTATGTTGCAAAATACTTTCTTCCTCCTCTGAAAGTACCTTCTCCATACATGTGATCCATCCACACTGACATGTATGCCAGCGCATTCCCCACATGCCATATGCAGTGCTCTCACATGCATGATCGTGTTTGTTAAAGGACAGCACCTGGCATCCATGGACCACTCATTATTTTGAGTGTGTGGAATAAATGAGGCCTTCTTAACTTAGTTTACACATTAAGTGAGAAGGAAGCTAAATTTATTAACACCCGGAGGAGTCATTTGGAACTGATAGTCTTTTGCAATTTAGTCTTTGTGGAGAGGTTACAGACACTTCTGCACGCGTACAAGAGATGTTCTAAGTTTGGCATCATTTTAGGTTGAATGCCAACTAATTAGTCATCTAGCAAAGATGCTTTATGAGCATTATCAGATTTCCAAAATTAAACATCTACTAAATATGTAATATATGGTGATTTTTATTTTAATACAGTTGTCCTTTGCAGGATGTTTTGCAAGAGTAGGTATTTTTCCCCTATAAGTGTGGCAGACTTTCAGCAAAACACAATCAAGGAGAAAAAGTTCATTGTGTCTTCTTGAACTTTCACATTGGCAATATTGAAGGAAAGGAGAGAGGGAGGAAAAAACTCAGATTTCAGCCTGGCGAAAACATCTCTGGGGTCAATATTTCACAAAATCGATATTATTTTGCTTTTTCCTTCCTCATAGCCATCTCTATGGTTGACATTTAACCACTCATCTTTGAGTTTTGAACTTTTAAGTAAAACATGGGGAGAAAATGCTTTGGTTTTAAAAATTATGCTTGCCTCCTCCCTAGCTCTTTACAGTGAAAATTATCTACACTTGATTTGAGAAGAACAATTTTGGATTTAAAAAAATCAAACAACAAAACCAACTGAAGAAATTTCTGTAATTGATCAGGTTTTTGACATTGCTCAGAGTAATAACTACAGACTATTTATTGAAATAGAGAATATAAAAATCAACTTTTACCTGTATTTTGGGTCTTTTTCCTGGTAAATCTTTATCAGAAGTGGGATTTGTAGCTTGAAAGTGGGTCACTCACTAGTTTATAGCATTGGAAACATAATGTCAGAGGGGATGGTAATATTTAGAGATGGAAAGTATAGTGTGTTTTAGTAATGTTAAAGCTACATCACTTTCTGATGAACAGCAGAATACTTATTTTTGTTTTCTTCTTGAAGCTTATTCACCATCTAGTTTTCACAGGCCCTGAAATAAAATGAAGGCTTTATTTTAAGAACAAAAGACCTCAGAGAGGACTAACTGATGCTCATTTTAAAGTTCAAATTGATGAAAATATTTCTAATTCTGGCACAAATTATGTTTAAAATCAGACTCGGGGAGGTAGCCAAATTCTGAATTTTGCTGGCATTTTACAGCATTACCACAAATAAAAATACATGAAGATAATTCCCATGCAGAGCAAAGTAGAAAATGTTTGGTTTTGGAAAATTCCTACAACTGGATCAATATTCTCCATACTATCATAAATTTTCACAATTTTTGGTAGTTATGGAGGAGAAGTTAAATTGCCTCGGCATGCTTACAAATGTGGATTGGGTCTCCTGTGAGAGTTGTGAACCCCAGTGGAGTATGTGGAAACTTCTCTTGGTGGTAATTACGCATTGACACCTTGCATTATAAGTTCCCTTTATTAAATTAATTTAATAAACTTAAAAAGTTGCTGTCACCTTATTAGGTGCTGTAAGGTTTGGTAGTGTGAAAAACAAAACCAGAAGGGTTTATCAAAACAGTTAGTGAAGATCATTTAAGTGAAAGTTCCCATTAAGTTGAGGCATGCGGAGAATCTAAAGAGAGAAGCAAAGAAATGTCACCTAGAAATTGAATTAAATAAAGCAGAATAGGCAGTTTCATGTAGGAAAGAAAAAAACCCCTGCAACTGCTGTCAGGAAGACTTTAAATGCATAAGAGTTTTGAATTTGAGTAGATGGAAGGTATTTAGGGACTAATGAGTAAAGTAATGCTGTATGATGTTTGAAAATAGTGTGATGGAAGTGAAGTTAGTTCATTCCCTACACTGTATGCTCTGTTAGATCATTATCCTGAATTTCAGCATACAATTTATAATCCAAGTAGGTTTCCTGGTCAAAACCACTCTATAAAAACAGTTTTTACAGAATCTACTTGTAGTGTCATTAATTAAAATCATCATCTGCTGGAAAACTTTGAGAGTCCTACCAGAGAACTATTTTGATTCAGCCATAAAAGTTTGAAGTAGAACCATTTCTAGCTAAACGCTGTCTTCAGTTTTCATCTGCTTTTAAAATTTTGTGTATTACATGAAAGTTACACAAGCTGTATTTTCTCTGAAAATCGCCTTATTACTTTTCTGGTCATTAGTTTCAAAGTGACAGTAGAAGTCCAAAGTCTTTGAAAGGAGCATTATTCACTTGAGGTAAAAGGCCTGGGTCTGATTTGCCATTTTAAACCCTTGCATGGTTTCAGACTTTACTTGAGTTACTCTTGATAATAGCAAGGGCCTGCAAGAACTGATTCAAACCTGTATTGGATGGTAAGTTAAAAAAATGTAATGGCGTCCTTGAAATGTTCATGATACAGTAACTAATCACGCTTAAATCTAGACTTAGGGATGTAGGAAGGAATAAGAAGACTGAAACTGATGAGGGTGACAAGACTGTGTGCTGCCACGTATCTGCTAATTTTAATGAATTGTGCCTTTCAGACAACATCTGATCTCTGGCATCTTGCTTTTAATGGCCAATTATATGGCCAGACCAAAGAAAAAAAGTGGTGTATGACTTGCCTCCTGCCCAAGGCTCTCATGTTGGCTGTGAAACCCGCTGACCGCAAGCTGCGGCATTGCCCACACAGCCTGTTGCTGACACGTTGTGGTGTGGTTGCCCATCAGTTGGTGAAATCTGGAGCCCTCTCCCTTCCTGAGTTCTGTTCATTTGTGTGAGGCAGAACCTGGTATAAGTTTTGAATCTCACTGTCAACTACTCGTGATAGCTCTGTGTCTTTCTCTTTGGAAATTGCCACATCCGCTGTTGACTCCTGAATAGAAGGAATAGGACTGTGTTCATCCATTTCCATTTTTCTTTTCTTCCTCCTTTTGTGTTCTTTCTCATGATCTTGTAACTGTGGAAGTGCAGCTGAGTACTTTGTAGAATTAAATATATTGGCCGTTGTCTCCCCTAGGAAGGGTAGGAGAAGGATTCTGTGCCCCTTTAGTCTGTGTTTTGTTCAGCTGATGAACAGCATTTCTGAAGAGTTTCATTTCCTGTCTATGCAGGACTTTTGTCAGAAAATAAACACGGAATACATTTGAAGTGCAAAGGCAATTTTCTGTTTTTAGAGAAAATAAAAATATCTGCATGATTATTTGCTCTTACTAGGAACTCAAGCGTACCTTAAAGGTTCCATTGCTCGGCATAATAGATATTATAATTTTTTAAACTGTTTTTTTACTATTTAGATTGCAAGTGGACTTGAAGTGAGCATTGAAAAGGGAAGTGGGTCATTTTTTTTTTCCCGGCTGTTGTCCATTCTTTCTCAGCTGGTGAAAGTTGATGACTCAAAGCTTAACAGGAAATGGTGTTAGATACCTGTAGGTGACAGATTTGAGTTTGGCCTCAGTTAGTAATGCTTGAAGTCATTACCATCTGTCTGTTGTTCAGTGATCTGTGTAAAATTAGCTGATATTCTTAGTCCAGTTCTTAGTAGACAGGTGTCCACATCATGAAAACTGGCACCAGTATGAGGCTCATTGGCTGTCTCAGCAGAGATGTTTTGCTGATAAATAGGCAAAGAAACAATAATCTACTCAGTTCTGAGGTATACTTTTCCCTTTGCAGGTTCAGACATGCTGATGGATGAGCATTCATAGAGACAAAAGTTATTGTGTGCTGCTGTGGTTGTTGTATCATCTTTTGGTAGAGAATGTAGCCCATGTTTTTGAATTCTGCATTAATTTTTAAAAAATGCCCTACCTAGTTCTGGCTTTGAGCAGAATTCTTACATATAGCTGGTGACCTTAGCTGTTCTTTCTGATAGAATGAAACAAGAGAACATATTTCATATGATGGGTTTTTTTTCTTTTTTTTCCTCACTTTAAAAATGTCAGCCCTATTCAGGCAGCAAGAATTTAGAAAGAGAAAACACCAAATCTTTCACAAGCAGTTATATTTTAAAAAAATCTGCAGCAACTACTTTTTTTTTTTTTTTAATGTAGCTGTAGGAACTGATGTAATATGATTTTATGTGGTTTATATATCCTGAGACTGATCTCATAATGGCACCGATAACTGCCCTTGGCATGATGAAACCTTTGCACAGACTTGCTTTTTAATGTTTCCGATTAATTGTGGGACCCTTGATGGCAAAATTTGCAATATACATTGTGCAGGATTTGAGTGTTTACATACAGCAGGGATCTCTGCAGTGACAGTTGCCTATGGAGACGCAGGGATAATGGAGCCCGAAGTCTTTCACTGGGAGCTGTGCTGCAGTTCAACCCATATGTTGACATAAAATGCATGGGAGAGCTCTCTTGCATGCCTCTTCCCAGGGTTAGGGCCTGGCATCACTTCTTCAGCCCACATGTAACATCTATAACACCAAACTATTCTGGCTTTTTGCAGGCGTTGCTTTTAATCCTGCCTGAGCTTCTTTAAAGTATATTATCTTGCAAGCAGTGATTCAGACGTAACTGTTCCCACTGCAGTGTGTAGGACTCTCCTCCTATTTCATTGACATAAAAATACACACCAGTAAGATATAAATAGTTCTCCAGCATTCCTGAAGATTTATGGTAGATAGATACTTTGTGAAGATCCATTGAGGGGTAAGCCCAAATGGTCATATTTGAAGTTAATTGGCCTTCTTACAACTCACTGCATTTTATTGCCAGTAATAGAGCGTTAAGGATTCTAATAGGATCTTCTGCTTGCAGAGCCTGAGTTGATTAAGTGATGCAACACATTAGTTTTGGAGGGCTGCTTAAATCACCAGTAAAAGTAGGTTAGGTGACTACAGATCACCTCCTCGTTGACAGGAATTCCCACGATTAATAATAGTTTAAAAAAGAAGCAGCAGCATGATTCACTATTTATACCCCCACTATTGTTACCAACTATGTTTTCTTCTAGAACAAGAAGAATAAGAGATAAGTATTGGTGTTGCCATAGATACTCCTGGGTTGGCATTAAGTACTGGGATGTGCTAGAAAATCCAAGATTTGTCATTTCACAACTGTTAAGGCCAGTGTAGGTGAAAGATGTGGAGCATGAAAGGGCTGCAATTGGAGAGAAAGCATTAAGGAGATAATCAGCTTCACTGTCTTTGCTCCTACCAGACACAGAACTGTTTGACCAAGGTTTTGGCTGCAAATCAAGGATTTGTATGTCTGTACTAGCTGGATAACTGTTATGATGTTTAAAGTACCTCTAGATCCGCATTCGTCTGTCATTTGCTAGTGGAATAAAATGTGATTTTCGCATCTGTTTTGTCTCTCTTCTGCCATCATGTTGGACAAGCAACCAGAAGTATTACGAGATCACTTTTGTGGCCTTGTAATTGTCTGAGAGTTCCTTCTTCCTTCTTTCTCATGGGTCATACTAATAAATATTTGAGAGCAGAATAGCAGTTACTGAAGAGTGAACCCAAACATAGTTTTAATCTTGTGCTGCTGCTATAATGTTTCTAATAGCATTAAGTCATAGGCTTGCTGATTTGGAGATTAGCTTCTTGATCTTAGCTTTCCCCTTCTTTCTGAGAAACTCCAAAAAACAAAGTTGCAAAAGCCTTTCAATGCCTATTGCCCATGAAGCTGTAGTCATTTAATGAAAAAAAAAAGAAATCAATGTTTGAGGAAAAGCAGCTCATGCCTGTAGGAAAATCTGTCCCATTGCTCATTTGGTATGATTGTAAAATTACAGTGTTCTGTGAGCTAAAGAAAAGAGTGTACCATCAGAGGAAAAACACATAAAGGTCTGGAGTTTATTTAAGTGCTATTCCTATTTAGTTTCTTATAACTAACAAGTAAAGCAATTCCTGAAAGGAATCAAAGCACTTGTCTCTGTTACTCAGTTAAACTGGATTACTGAATATTGAGCTCAGTTCCCGAAAGAGATTCTTTCAGGAACTGAGTTCAGTATTCAGTATTCTCTTATTATTAAGTAACAAAGACTAATTCCTGTATTTTCTTATTAAAGCGATGTGGGAAGATGAATTTTTCACTTCTGTAGAAGTGATGCAGAAATATTTCAAGATCAAATAAATATTTATGTATTTAAGTCAACCCTGGATAAATTTTAATAGTGTGCTTATGGGAGATCAGTGGTAATTGAATCTCTTCTTTTTCTATGTGCAAGTATGACTGGGCTTTCCTCTCCTGTTTTCTAGCACTGCAGATAAATGTCTTCACTTCTAATCTCTTGGAGCTCTTCTGCTCTCCAGAAATCAATATATTCAGGAAACGTCATTGGGCTATGTTAGTAAAATGAGTGATTGAAACACTTGTGGATTTCCCTGACTCATGAATGCCTTGGTAATTGTAGAAAAGAGAGCAGCTTCCATGTTTAGAGACCAACCCAGTGCAAAACAAATGGCATGCTATGAAACTGGAACTTCGAGGTTGCTTCTTAAAAACCTCTTTGGGACAGACATGCCAAACTATACAACTTTCCAGGGACCTCTGAGCTACCAACTGTTGTACAGTGGAATTTATTTAGAGTTATTTTGAAAAAATGCCCTTCTGTGAAAATTAGCTTCCAGCAAAGTAATCTTTTTGACACTTAGATGAAACATTCTTGCTTTTCTTCTCTAAATAATTGGCAAATTCTGTAGCAAAACAATTTTACATGGCTTTCTTTTCCTTTTTATTCACAGCTTGAGACTTGTTCTAGGTGCAAGAACTTAAATTTCCCTATTTTCCCATTGCTTACTTCTTTTTTTATCTTTTACCATTTGATTCAAAGTGACATCTGTGAAGACTGATTTTTAATTTTTTTTTTTTTCTTTTCAAGTGGGACATATTCTTCTGCTGTTAACTCTGTTGAGTCTTTTCTCCTTTCATTTTTAGATTGCAAATATTATGATAATACCTGAATCATCAGACTTGAGCCACTTATCCTTTTTAGTAATTTGAGTTTAGAAGCTTGTTGATTTGTAGATCATGCAGATTTTTTTCATAAAGAAACTGTTTACAAGACCTTCAGTAGATTTCTTTTTTAAACTTATGATGTGAGTTAACTCCCTGAATTAAACTGTTAGCTAATGCTTTGATCACAAAATCATCATAACGGCTGATAATTAGCAACTTTCTAGACTATTACATTGGGAAGAGACCTAAATCCCAGTGAAATTAGTGCATGTTTTCTTTGCTTTAAGGGGAAATGTACTGAAGGGCAAATGCCCATTTAAGATTTCAAGGTAGTAAAGGCAATAATACATTAAAATGAAACTGCTTTCTCTGGTGGTTGATTTGCTGTAGGCAGCTGTGAGAGTGCAAAACCTCTGTTCAATGCACTGTTTTTGACAGTGTCCTAAGTATCATTGGCTCTTTCAAGACAGACATTGTAGCAGAATGTGGATCTTGGTTCAAACCCTCAAAGGTACTTAGACCTCCAACTTTTATTTTGGATATTAGTATTAAAGCACTTAAGTATGTCTCAGGAAATGGATGCAGTTCTTGATGCTGCAATACTAAATTGCTCAGTACATGGCATGCTAATGTCTGTAGTCCAGTTATTATGAGTAGGTCCTAATACTAGTATTAAATGCTTTGAGAAATGTGGATTTCCAGGATTCGGTGCTTGTTGTAAAGTAGAATGGTGATTTTAGTGAGCCTTTTAATTTTTTGGCATCAGTTTTCTTAGCCCTTAAGTCAACATTGGTTTTCTGAATGGGGATTTGCATGGAAATGCTGCTTTTGATTTACTTATGTAGTAAAGGTAATTGAGCAGTGCATGTTATTTGAGACTTACCTGAATTGACCTCTGTTTGCATTTTGCTCTTGCTTGTCCACAGAACCCTGAAAGCGGTAACTGTTCACACACCAGGATCATTTATGGGAATTGTTGACCTGCAAAATTCAAATTTTCTTGCTCACTTCCTTTTCATATATTAGGTCCTGTTACTGAAGTCAAAACAGATATATATGTCACCAGTTTTGGACCTGTTTCTGATGTAGAAATGGTATGTATTTCTGGGGTTAAAATGCCATTTCCTCGTTCTGAGAAACGATTAACTGCAGTAGGAGTGGTTGCTTCATCTGTACTGTTCTGTCAATCATGCAAATTAGGCAAGATTAGTAACAGCTTAATTTACAGGTTATAATTAGATACATAAGGCCTGATTCTGGTCACACTTTCAGTGGGTTTTGGCTGGCTTAAGAAATTCGCTTCATAGGATTTAAAACAGATTTTCATGGCACAGAGGCAGAATCCAGCCTTGCAGGGAGTGTATAAGTAAGTCTACAGTAGGGAAAATGTGTAATATTTTTGAAATTGCTTTTTCTTTCTAAAACTTGTGTTTTTCTCAGGTGAATAATAACGACATCACTTCAAAAATGCTTGCTGACATTTTCATTTCTGATGAATGCCCTTTGCTGACCCTTGTGCTCCTTTAAGCATTGCTTTCAGCAAATGTTTGTCTGATAACAGTTTTCATAAGTATATGCAGAAATTAAACGTCCAGGTGATATGCATGAAATAGTAACAGAGGAGAAACATTACATTTGCATATTCTGTTATTTGTTCCTGAATGGCTTTTGCTTTCAAGGTCAAATCCAGCAAAACTCCCATCAACTTCTAAAATACAGTGATATACCCTTAAATCATACAGCAGTTGATTTTTTTATAACACACTCAAGAAATCCCATGGAAATAGCACAGCCATGTGTGCTGAACTGAACTTCTTAATGGAAAATGCAATTTCAGGGTAGTAATTTTCTTCCCATATAGTGCTGTTGTTCACTTTGTGTTGCACCTGACTTAATTCTGTTATGTGGAAAGGTATGTGGTAGCAAGATATTTTTTCAAGAGCTACAGTCTCGACAGCAGTCTCATGTTAAAATGATTCTTACCCATTCCTTGGTTAGCATGTGCAGGATGATGCTTATCAGAGGGACAAGGGGTACAAGGATGTGGTCCTGAGGAAATCTAGTAATATGTGTCTCAAATCTATAGTGAGGTCTGTGTGGCATCTCTCAGGTTTCATTTTCATGGGAAGTTATAGTTATATTGGAGCATATATCTAGGCAGAAGTGAGAACATGGACTGAAGATGGGTGAGGAACTTGCAAAAAGATAGTTTACAGCCGATATTTCCCCTTTCTTCATTAGGGATGGTTTAGGAGGCTATTTAGTGATGCAGGAATTGTTTCTGGAATACTCTTTAGTTAATATATCCATTAGTGACCCAATGTAATTTTAATGTGGCTGCACTTGTAAAACTTGCTGCAACAGTGACGTGTGCTATAGTCTCAGTACAGGGGATGATCAGAATGTCTTTTAAGTTGCTTTTGTATCCATTTTCATTTTTTAATGAAAATGGTTGAAATCTTATATTACAAAATCTGTCAGGTAGAAGCCAATAACAGAAACAGGTACTTATGAGCCATGAATTGACACTAGAGGAGACACTTTTCATGGATTAACTATAAATCACAGTGGAGGATACAGTCATGGAAAAGAAGACATATAATCCAAGATGCATTACACTAGTAGACCTGCCTCCTTGCCAATGCAAATAGGTATGGGCTTACAAGTAATTTCAATAGAAACATTTTGTAGAAGAATTTGAAATCAAGCCAGAAAACATTGTTTGGCTTAACAACAAGATCAAAACTGTAAGTTAGAAAGGACTTAAATCCTTCCATGTGACCTTCCATGATAGCTTTTTATGTGAAATGCTTTAGCTTCTAAGGATGAGAAATGCATTATTTCATCCATTCATTCACATGTGATTTCTCATGATGTGCCTATGTCTGCAGTTCTGCAGTTTTTTGCATGTTTTCTTTAGAGCATCTGAGTGGCTTTTTCTGATGGAAGTTAATGGGATAGTTACGTACTTTTAAAAAAATGTAGATATATATGCAAATCTCTATATAATTTGTGATCCCTGTTTTATGAGCATGGCAAAACACTTACTTAGCTTTCCTCAGTTAAAAGCTTACTTTCCATGAGATGAAGTTAGGTTTTCTTTCCTAACTTTAAAGTGGAACTAATAATTTGTCCTGGTATTTTCAATTTAGCCAGCAGCATCCAACCTATGGATATATTTTCTTTAAAAATCTGTTGACAATTCTTGTTAGAAATCATTTTGTTTCCAGTTATATGCTTGACTTCAAATTCAGTTGCCTGCTTCCTGCAACCTAATTAGCTTAATTATCCCTTAATGATTAAATGTGTAGCAGTTTATTGATATGATTAATGTAAGAAATTAAGCTACTAAGAAGTACACAAGACACTTTAATTGGTGGAGAGATGTTTTTGTCGTGGACTTAGGATTTTCTTTTTTAATGATTTCTTTGCTCCTAAGGGATTTCTTATTTTACAGGAAACACGTATGCAAATGTGATCTTTGTTTTTATGCAATTTAATACAGGAATATACAATGGATGTCTTCTTTCGTCAGACATGGGTAGATAAAAGATTAAAATATGATGGCCCTATTGAAATTTTAAGACTTAACAACTTGATGGTTTCGAAGGTATGGACTCCTGATACTTTCTTCAGGAATGGAAAAAAGTCTGTTGCTCATAATATGACAGCCCCTAATAAACTCTTCAGAATAATGAGAAATGGCACCATCCTGTACACAATGAGGTATCTAATGTGTTTGTTTGACTTCTTACAATTACTGTATGCAAAAGTTGTACTGCCTAGACAAAATGGCAACCAGAGACTATTTAATTTGTTCCATTATAGGCTTACAATAAGTGCAGAGTGTCCCATGAGATTAGTGGATTTTCCCATGGATGGTCATGCTTGTCCTCTCAAATTTGGGAGTTGTAAGTTGCAATTATCAAATTTCTTGTAACTACAGAATTTAAATAGTAGAATTAAATTTTGAGCAGTTACTAGACTTTCTGAATTTATACAGTTATGTCTTGATATGCAATCTCTATGCAGACAAAACTCCTGTTAAGTTCCTCAGAACTTCAATTTAGGACGTCAAAAATTAAACCCAGAGAAATAAAAAGGAGGTGGTGATTCAGCTATTATGTTAAACCCCACTATTCTGGATACGCAGTTGCTTGAAATATGTCGCTTTTCTTGATTCTTGGGGAGGAATTGGTTACTCAGTGAAATGAGAGGTTCTTTGGAGAAGACAAACTTAACTTAAAACAGCCAGGTAAAAGACACCTAGGGAAGCAGTTTAGCTCACTTTCTCTACAGACAGTGGAAGCACATTGACGTCTTAAGAAAGAGGTGAAGGTTATGTGCAGAGATTTGGTGTCTAGTTGTAATTGTCTGCTGGCCTGTAAGAGGAGTCTGCATGGCAAGTTTAGACTAAATAAATAACTTTTTAACTGATGAGAAAAATCTTAGTGCAGATGATTTTTCTGCTTTGAAGTCAGATGTCTGTTTTTGAAAAATATCCAAATTTTGGATAAAGGAACAGTTTGGGATTTCTGCATAACAAACCAGAGAGGGTAGCTGTGGTTGCCTGATGTGAATCCAAACCAGAGAGCTCTGAGACACCCTGGAAATGGTTGGTGCACTCCATTAACTATCTTGTTATTCTTTTAAGCCTTCTTGGTCATTGACTTCTCTGCTTTACACCCTCCAATGGCTGGACATTAATCTGTTTACCTTGACCCTAGAGCTCTGAAGTGAGAAATCGCTGGAGAACCTTCAGAGATTTTCCATTGCATAAATTTAGCTTATACAGCTGGATAGTCAGCCTGAATGGGGGCATGAAAGACACACCTCTAATATGATTTTTCATCAGGGAGACCAGGTGCTGCAAGATTTGTCTTTGGTATGAGCTGTATGATAGGGGTTCTTTGATAGTGGGGGCTCATTCACAGTAACAGGTCTTGAGACAGAACCACCACTTAGAAGGAATTGCTGAACACTAGTCTGATATTTCTCACAGTGAAACTTGAAATAACCTATAGCCATTTCAAATATAAGACTGATTTGATTCAATTTTAACAGGAGTTTGGACTGTGTAGGGATTGAATGCTAGCCCTAAGAAATGTCATTTGCATTAAATGTAAAATGTTTCTTTGTATGTGCTTATTTTGGGGCCATTGTGAATTTTTTTTACTTACCTATGGTTTCTGGCAAATATTTTAAGCAGAAGTTTAAAATGTTGCCGTTTTTAGTATAATCATCCTTTTCTGTAAAGTAATGTACACCCAATCTTCAAAATATGTCCTTCTTGTACATATTCTTTTCTTTTTTTTTTAGATTAGTATATTTTAATAGTAAAATTTTAGTTAGAAATTGCTAAATTAAAGATAAACTTTGCATGCCCAGAAAGGGCTGATTCAGAGGGGATTTGCGTTTAGTCTTCACATTCATATGTGAAGTGAATTTATGTGTGACACTTGACATATAACCTCAGCTCTTATTTATTGTACTCCAAGGGTGGCTTTTTGGGGGTAACTTAACATGAAGGGTATCTTCTGAAGTCATTCATCTGTGTTTTACTGTTTGGTTTCAGTAGGTTTGGTTTTGGTTCTTAGTAAGGCATGAGAAAAATTTCCTATTTATGCAAACTGATGCTGTGTTGTAGATGCATATCCAAAGAGTGAAATGATTTATACCTGGACAAAAGGACCCGAGAAGTCAGTGGAAGTTCCTGAGGAGTCTTCCAGTTTAGTTCAGTATGACCTGCTTGGGCATACGGTATCCTCTGAAACTATAAAATCTATTACAGGTAGGAATCTTGTCAGTAAAAATCAACTTGAGGTAAAACTAACCTGTAACATTGCCCAAAGCTTTTTTTCTTTTTCTTCCTGTAAGTTTTACTCTACTGAATGTCATAGGGTATGTATTAAGGACTGAGAGTGTAAATCTGAATTAGGTTTCTGTCCTTGAGATTTACATTTGTGGATTCATTACAGTAGATTGCGACAGTCTTTCAGAAAGCTAGAATGAGATCATTACTCCAAGGGACAAAATGAGCATTTAATCACTGCTTAAAATGCAGTTTGAAGAGTCAAGAGGATGCCTGGGTGAGGAAGTAATTTCTCAGCACTGTATCCACATTATGTGCAAAAGACTTCCTTTGTTTGGTGGTGCAAACAGCTCAGGATAGAAGTACAGCATACAGAATGGGTTATTAAAATCATAAAAACCCTCTAGTCAGATAAGGGTAGGCACAAATATGCTGCTAGTCACAATAGATACTTCTGCTGATTTGTTCTGTAAGAAATAAGGCAAATGGCAACTACAGGCATCCAAAATGAGTGAAGTATCACTGATGAGCAGTGTGGTGATAAACAAGCATATTCCCAAAATATTTTTAAAATTTGGAATCATTTTCTAAGCATCAGCAGGTTTGGGTGTTGTGAGATAGTCAAAATGAAACCAATAAAACAAATATATTTGATGTATTGCTCTACGGATGTTTTACTCAAAGATAAAATGGCATTTTGCAATTCACTAGGAATTTACTTCTCAGCATATAGATTACTATTAGTTAACAAAGAAAAATTACTTGCTGTCCCAAAAGGCTTATTCTGTAGTGCTTTATTTAGACAGTTTATTGAGTTCATGGTAAAACTGCTTTTTTGGTCTGTTTGCTTAATATGAATGATAACATTTTAGATAAATTTAGAGTATTTTAAATTCTTCTCAATGGTTTTTGCATTTGTTTCATTGTTGTAGTGGGGCTGACTTATAAACCTAGCAAAAAGTTGAGATGCTTGCATAACGTTTGATGTGTATCGTTGTTGTTTTATTCGGCAGGTAGGTACCATAATGTTATGGATACTGGTAGGTAGATAAATTGTGTCTTGGGATTCTCTTCTCCAACAGCTGTCAAAAGAATTTTTAAAATCATGCTTATACTGTAAAACGTAATCCAGTACTAGTTGTATTATAGCATTTTTGATATCAACTTTCTTGTAAGGACCTACTGTTTCTGGGATTTTTAAAAAAACCTTCATTCATTCTTGTTCTAAAGAAGGTATCTCTCTGTACATATTAAGTTATGTGAATAGTATCACCTTAAACAATCCTACTTGAGACTCTGAAACACAAATTTTTTACACAGAGAAATATTTTCTTTTTTAGGTGAATATATTGTTATGACAGTTTATTTCCATCTGAGACGGAAAATGGGTTATTTTATGATTCAGACCTACATCCCATGCATTATGACCGTGATCCTCTCTCAAGTTTCATTTTGGATAAATAAGGAATCAGTTCCTGCTAGAACTGTATTTGGTAATTATTTCCTTTTTAAAAACTTTTTGTTGTACTTGCTCTTTTAATAATTCTCACTAGAATAGGCCTTTTCAGTGCCTTGGGGTATACTCCATGCTATTTCAGAAACAAGGGAATAATTTAAATTCAGAGAGAATCTTGCTATTGATGTATGAAGAATGTTGTTGAATGAATCCTTGGAATCTGAAGAGAAACTTGGAATATATAATCAGAAGGATGGGATGGTAACCTGTGGCAAATGGCTGCTCAGCTCTAGGGATTCTACCTGCTTGAGGGAGCAAACTGGAAAGACCTGGCTCTGACTAATACACTCTACATCCAGATCAGGTTTATCCTCCAGTGGACAGTAGTGTAAGTACTCAAACTCAAGGTTTATAGAACACTTGTAAATTAAATTGATTTGGAGTGTGTGAGATGTTCCAATGTCTTGTTATGAGGTATCTGTGTCATCAGTGGAAGCTTGCTATGAATAAGGCTTAGATTCTGTTACTGTAATTTCATATTTAATGTTTTTCTTTCCTTTCTACCACTGCCATCATGAAAATGAATTACAAAAGCAAAATGATCACAATATATTAATCTTTTCAAAATACGGCTTGAACGAGATGGCACAGTGAAAATAATAGAAAATCTTCAGTGGAAGACAAGTGCATGAATCTAAATGGAAATATTTTTCCTAAAAAAGAAATAGGATAAAACCATTTTAAAAGCTGCTTAAAGCAGGAAGAGAATGTTGTACTATAAGCCTCTCTGTAGACTGCTAGATGCTGGCAAGAGTGATAGTGATAGGGGCAGTTGTACTGGCAGCTCCAAGTCTTCCAGAAGAATGATTTAATAGAGAAAAATCTGAGAAAGTCTGTCAGTAAACTAATATTGTCACAGACAAACATGTCCTCTTTGGTTAATGTTTGGTCTTGATCCTATTTTTGATTCTATTAATCAAATGTTTTTAGAAACAATTTGGAAAAAGTTTTTGCTTGAAGTGGACAAAGGTCCACTCAGGTCCTTAGAAAGGATAGGACTGAACAGAGATGGGCCTCCTCCAGGGAAAGAAACAAAACCCAAACAAACAACTTTCCATATTTTTTTTTTCTCAGACTTAAACATTTTCAGTGGTGTGGATTTCAACACCTTCCCACTGAAGAAGGTTTTGTGAGCTTGCATCTGTATTTTTTATCCTCCTGAAAACTCTGAGAAATCCTTTGAGCTGTCATGACCTGGCTATTACTCTTTTTTTATTTACCTTCTTTAGAAGGAAGGACTGATTTCATTGTGAGCATTTCTCTGTATGGCAGTGTGTAGTTAAGCTATTTAAAATTATATTACCTTGATGGAATACTACCATTTAGCAAATAGGGATGTGAGAAAAACATATTCTTAATGAGTTTAAATTCTTCTGAGCATAAGAATTTCATCTTGAGCTAGAATGAGTACAGTGTTCTTTTCATAAGAGTAAGAACATCTGTATTTTTAGTCACTCATCATTGAGGTTATCATGCTAGGATTTATGCAGTGTTCACCACATACTTGGGGTTTTACATTTCTATGAGATGGGATATTTTGGATGAAAAAAGAAAGAAAGACTTCATTAATTTGTTTTTATGCAGCATGTATTTGCATTTGAAGCACTACCAGGAGGTGGCCATCTTTTGAGTTCACTATTCATGCTTGCACACTTTTTAATTAAAGTTGTTCTTTCAGAAGATGAAATTCTAATTAAATTTCATTGGCTGACTAGTAGCAGAAGGTTGTAAAAAACCCCTGATGGTTTCTTAACTAACAGAGTTTTTAGCATAATATTCTTCCTTAGCACCAAAATAATTTGTCATGATTTAGTGTTTCCTGGATTACAAGTGTAATCAGAGGCACAGATGCAGAATAATAGGTGGCATTCAGAACAATTTAGAGGAGAAGTCATGTTTTTGTTGTAGTCTGAGGAGTACTCCCCAATTTAACAACTTAAATGTTATTCAAATATTTAGAAAATAACTTGTAAAAAAATTATACTGAACTTAAAGTGAAAAACATATGAAAGGAAGGCTTCTCTGTTTTCTTCATGTGATCATGTAGATGGTTGAAGTCATGGTTTTCTGTGCCTCCTTTAAAGAGAGGTAAACTGTTTGTGGACTTAGCTGCTTATGGACATGTGATGCTTGCCATGACTTTAATCTAATGCAATATTCACAAGCAGCAGAGGAAGACTCACATGTGATTTAGAGTTCCTTCTTTGAAGGTGCTTGCCAGTTCTTGCTTTGTTTTACTTTGATTCAACAGTTCTTTTGCTTTATTTTTTTGAAGGGATAACTACAGTGTTGACAATGACGACACTGAGCATCAGTGCAAGACATTCACTTCCAAAAGTATCCTATGCTACTGCCATGGACTGGTTCATAGCGGTTTGCTTTGCCTTTGTGTTCTCTGCTCTGATTGAGTTTGCTGCTGTCAACTATTTTACTAACATTCAAATGGAAAAAGCCAAAAGGAAGACGGTCAAGTCCCTTCTTGAATTTCCTGTTGCTCCAGTACAAAGGAAAAGAAGTACAGAAGAGACATTCACGGTATGTTTCCAGCTCATGCAAACAATATCTGTATTTTTTTTTTGGTAGTGTTTCTTTAGCTTCCTCCCAGGCTCCCTTTGAGCTAATGATGTGTTGTACATCAGACTAATGGAAGGCTATATTCAGTTATAAAAACCTGTAAAGCATGATTTAATTCTTATTTGTGTTATTGAATAAACTCAGGGGCAGGGTGGCAATTATGTCCATCCATACGTGCAGCCTCTTCTATGTTTGTTTTGGAGATAAGTTAAAATGGGAATCTTGAGGAAACTTAGTTTCCTTTTCCACAGTGATTCCATATGGACTGACTATAAAGGCCAAGATATTGCAGATTATAAGGGCATAGTTATTTTATGTGGCTAATGTCTTTAATGAACTAAAATATATTAAAGCATTGCAGCTGTACCTTGGAGCACTTCCCTAAACGTCACAGTTCTCCTGCATTGCATGTGTTACCTATCAAGAGTTTTCTTTCTTTATCTGTTACAATTTCAGGAATTTTTGAAGACTATTGGATGGAAACTTTTTGTTTCCATGATAGATATAATTTTTATGCAATGTGTGTATCTTTGCACAGTAGTTCACCTCAATTGCCGACAAGGTTTTGTGGCTCTGTTTACCAAAATGCTTGTCTGCTTTCCTAATGCTTTGGATTAAGTGTGACTTGTGGGGGAGCTGTTTTAGTGTGTGGACTAGCAAATAAATGCTCAATCTCATTTCCAGTAGAGCTCACTGGTGATTACCCTTTCCTCTCTTTTCCCTTTCCCAATAAATTGTGCTTACTCTCTGAAGCAGCTGCTCATGAGACATGTAGCTAACAAAGGCATTGCAGCACTGTCCCTGCCACGCAGTGGGCCAGTACTTCCCAGCCAGGACTGGCTCTTGGCAACACCACTCAAGAAGTGAGACGCTGACAGCAGCATTGTGATTTACTTACTCTTCCTGTCAGGCTGACTTTGTAATTTCCTTTGACTGAGCCAGGATTTAAGAAGTGCTGTTTTAGACTAACTCTTGTTAATTTTGTCTTCTGTCTCTTTTCACATCTCATTTGTCTCCTTCCCTATTCATCTTCTCATTTTTGCCTTCCCACCCTTTCCATTTTCTATTGCTGTGCAGCTGCTGTCCACCCACTTCCATTTTTCTTCCTCTTCTTTGCTCTCCTAGTGTAGATACTGTTTTCAATCTCCTGGCTGTGTTGTTATGTTAGCTCCCATTTCTGCTTAAAAGGATAGATATGCTCCTGAAGAGTTTGTTATTTGTCAGTCCACTGGCTGCTGGTAGGAGACAGAAACTAAGAAATATGTTTCTAGTAGCACGTAGTTCCCTTGTACACAGAGGTATTAGTGCTATGAGCTTATGCTAAGCTTTTTGACTGTGCAGCATGAAGTTTAGTAGAGTATCTTGGCTGCTCCTGAGGAGTGAAAATAAATACTGATTTTGGTGATAGGTTTTATTTGCATGCCTAGGAAAATAAATTACTTAAGAACAGTTAATCCTAGGTTTATTCATTAGATTTTATTTTAAACAATAGGAAAAACAATAGTTTACTCAGGTAGCTTAATAAAACTTATTCTCATGGAAGCTTCAAAGAAGTCTTTTGATTCATGGACAGAATTGCTTTAAGTTAGTAATGTGTAATGCTTAACCATTTATACACATTTTGGAGAAATTCCTCTTTCTTTTTTTTTCTATTCTCATTATTATTACTATTGCTATTATTATTATTTAAAACAACAGCAACAGAATACACATCTTTCAACTTGAAAGACAGATAAAATGAGATGTGAAGAGTTCTATTCCACTGCTTAATTAATACAACTGGCATAAATGTGGGAGCATTCTCACAGATTAGGAGATTTTTGAAAGCACTCAAGGGAAAAATCTACTCAAGGGATTACACATTAATATTATGAGTATGTAAGTGAGTGATAGTGTTGATTGTACCTTGAACTGTTATTTTTTTCAAGGCTTTCTCCTTAATTCTGCCTATGCTAAGATTTGAGACTTTGCTCTTCCAAGACAGGTGTACAAGGTGAGCCCACAGCTACTGTTAATAAAGACTTAACTATTGTGCAATCCTTTCTATGACTGAAGGATTACTTCTGGTCTCCAACTGTGCAGAACAGGTCACTGCTCTAATTCTCTAGAACCTAACATGGATGCTACACCTTGCTTTCCAAACTGACATGTAAAATACTGCTTGCTATATTTTGCTTCTAAGGACTAATCTAGAATTTTTAAATTCCTTATTATTTATTATTATTATTATTATAAAATATTTCTTTATTACTTATAATGAATCTGACTTTTTGTTCTGCACAAATACTGCCTAGTCAGTGCTGATACTGAAATCTCAGTTTCCTTAGTACTGAGATTGGTGGTGAGTTTGTGGTGCACAACGAATGCAGGACAGTAGCCGGACTATAGCATGTAATTTATAAGCAATGTTTCTTAATGTAAATCTACACATTTTTTCTCAATAGATAGGCTTGATTTTTTGACCCAATAAGTATTTAAAAATCTGCACTGTGCTGACGCTATTGTGGTAGAAACTCTGTTGATAGCAGTACAATTGCCAGAGCTCAAGGAAAAGTTGTATTTTAAACCTGAAGTTTTTTTCAAACAGACTTTGCCTGTAATACTGAATTTTCCAGTCTCCCAAAATCAAAAATTTTCTCTCAGCCCAGGGACGAAGTGTATGCTTATTGGGAGAGAAGGTGCCTGAATACTTGAACCTTACAGTTCTTTCTGTTTAATATCTCACCATTTGCAATGTGCTCTGGGTCTTCTGCTAACTGGGGGAGATCCCTGTCTTAGGCCTATTAGCCCTGTACTTTAGTCTACCTTGAAATGGCATACAGGTGTCTCTGCCCACTATTTTTGCAATTGAGATGTCATCTGTATAGGTCCCCTGAAAAATTACAGACCAGTTGAGGTTGTCAAGAAAAACAAACATGGTGACATTATATTTTAAAATAAGGGTTTGTCTTATGAGCTGTTGATTCTGTATTATTAACTGGATGGTTTCACAGTTTTGATGTTTTTTTTTTTTCCCTCAAGTAACATGGTGAGATTGTCCTTGAAGGATTCTATGAGGGAGCAAGTTGGGCTATGAACCTGGATTAGCTATAGAATATGAAGATTTTTCTATCTGGTGATATTAGAAATTAGGCATATTAATAGTAAACTTTGATAAAGTAAAGATAAATTTCACATTATTAGAAGTCCTTTTTTGACAGGTGTATTTTTGACCAAATTCTTACCATAGAATTAAACTGTATTTTCTGTATTGAATCAGTTCATATATTACTCATGCTAATTAGAATTTTTAATGATGGTTATTTTTCTCTTTTCAGTCAAAACAACTTTTATAGCTGTCCTGGATCAAAGGAAACTCCTATGATTTATCATTATGATCAAATGATTTGGATATATTACTTTATGTTATATATTTCTTCACTAGAAACAATGAATTTTTGCTGGAGAAAATGTGGGCTATCTGTTTTTCTAAGTTATTCTCTTATGTAAGAGCCACATGATGGGTATTTCTGATTAATATATCAATTAAGTGATAAATGCAGTTCAGGGGCTAGCTAAGTAGTCTGAACTGTGTTAATTACAAGAAAAAAATCCTAGCATCAAGCTAATTTACTGGGCTGAGGGTAGCAGGAGCAAGCCTGCAATAGCTGCAGATGCAGTTTGTGTTCCTTTATTACTTGATTTTACTTTAGCCATGGTATTCTTCAATATTTTTTTTTAACTCCTTCCCCTGCCTACCCTATTTTAACTCCTTCTTGTCTTTAACTTCTTGATACAAACTTAATGTATTTCAATAAGGAGGAGTGCAGATCTGTAGAAGACATCCCAGGAGTAGGATTCTAGATTTTTTGAGGTCTGCCTTGAGTTTCCAAGGGACTTGGACAAACTTTCTGTCAGGCACAGCAGGATATCTCTGAAATATGTCTAACGCAAGAAAGGTAACTTAAACCTTGGTTACCTATGATTTCTTTGTTTTGGGAACAAGTTAAAATGCTTTCTGTTTAGAAGGAAAGATCCTACCCCTAAATGTTCTGAACTGCTTTTGTTGGTATAAGCAGAAATGTTGCTGCAAGTCAATGTGTTATGGAAATGAATGATTTATAGTTTGTTATTGGACTCCTGAGTCTATTTTTGTGCTTCTGTACTATTTCCTTTTCACTGTATTCCTATGAAGTTTATTTTTAAAGACCTACCCAGTTTTGGAGATGAAGAATGCTACTGAAAGGTAGTCTTCAAAAAATAGACTCCTAAACACTGGTAACATGAGCTTCAACCTCAGCTGTTTGTTAAAAGAGTGTGAAACTCAGGAAAAATCAGGTCAGACTCAAAAAAACCTTTTTGAATGGAATTATTTCTTCAAACTCAGTCACAAGTAGGTTGTAACTCTCAATTTTTCTTCCTCTTTTCTGAAGACAATTAAATGTCAGCTTGTCCTTAGCAAGTCTTGTAGCGTCTAATGGGGAAACTCCAGGGTCAAGCTCTTCACTGCCATGTGGGCACACACTCCCCTCCTTGCTTGGGTGCTATGTGACACCCCACAAGCTTACGAGAAACGTTGTCATGTGGACAACCTGCATACTGCTTTTGTGTGATTCAGATGTATTTTCTCTGGTATGAAATACTTACCTTTTAGTCATTTAAGGGCACAGCTCAAGTTATATGAGAAAGTGGGAGAAAAGTGGAAATCCTTTGGCAGCCCTTGGTGAGCAGACATCTAGAGCAATTAATCTGGCTGGTGGCCAGCTCTTTTCCCCAGACTCCTGACTTACAGAACAAAGATTGGGTCTGATAAATTGTTCTGATGGGCTGCATACAATCTTGAGGCTATAGGTGGGATACTTCTTTTTTTAGTGTGCCATTTTTTTTATTGCTGTTGTTGTTCTTAATCCCTGAAGCCGATTCAATAGTGAGATGCCAGCAGATACACTCTTGTGTCTAAGGTCTAGACTTTCAGTGAAACCGAAAACTTTAGCCTCTGAACCAAAACTTCCATTTGAATACACAGACATAATGGAGAGGTACAAAACCCATACAAGACCTAGAGTAGTACCACTTACTTACTTTGCTCCTTCTTTGGAGCAGTAGAATGCTAGCTTCCTTTGTCCCAGCAATAGTGAAGTAGAGCTAAACCCTCCTGCCTCATAAATGAATGGAAGTATCTGAAGAGCAAATTGGTCTTGATGGCAACACTTGGGCCACAAGTCTGGTTACTGGATTCCTTATGTGGATGCACAGCCTATCTCCTTTGTGAGACTTAAACAGTCCTGCAGTAGGACACCATTTCAGGTTTTAAATATAATGACCATTTTTTTCTGCTTCACTACTTCTCCACTGCCTAGGGTGTTACAGTTTGGGCTTTTCAGGGCAGTGGCATTTAAAACTCAGTTCCTAATGAAGGAAGTCAGGCTCGAGAAATGCATAGAGTTCATCTAAATATAAGGATAGGACCATACGAAATAGAAGCTGCTGTGCCATTGAACAATTTCTTTACATGTCAACAATTTTCTGCTGCTCTAATTTAATTAGTCAACATTTTTGGTATTGATGATTTACAGTCAAGATATGCTAGCATCAGGTTTAAATAGGATGAGAGTGGGTGCAGGTCATAAACAACTGGCACATTTTGTACTAAATGCTACTTGAGAGACAGAAGAGACTAATCACCTGGGAGAAGGTTGCAGTGACTTAGTGGGAACTTTCAATTTTTGGATACCTGAAGATAGATCCAAAATGGTTCATGAAATATTTTGTTAGCTGTGATGCTCAGGTACAATGTTTTGTGGGTCTTTTTATGCTTACTTGATTTTATTTGCCTTTTGTTGTTTTGCTACTTTGTTTTTTGGTGCAGTTTTTTATTTTTTTTTATATTCTTTTTTTTGAGGGGGGCCTTTTTTACTATTGATTTTGGTTGTATGGTTTTTTAGGGTTAGGTTTGTTTGGTTTTTTGTTTGGTTCTTTTTTTGGTTTGTTTTGGGGTTGTTTTTTGTTTGTTTTGATTTTTTACTTGGTTCACTAGACTTAGTTCCATTGATCCACTGGCCCTATTCATAATGTATAAAGCTAAATATGGGCTCAAGTGTGACTTGGGCATAAATAAGAGACATAAAAATTAAAAATTTCATATAATATTTCATATAATATTTCTTTTTAAAATAATAAATTAAAGTGCTATATTCAAAACTTTCGTATTTGTTCAACATCCTGATATTACTCTACCTTTTATTTGGTTGGGTTGTGAACGAATTTAAACTGTAAGTAGAAACATTACTGCAAAGTGAGCAGAGTAATTACTGGAAGCAGGTAATGTATGGGATTTGTGCCTAGATTCTGACCCAACTTAACTGTGATGTAAACTCCACTGAATTCCAAAATTCAGTTATAGTGAAGATAGAAAATGGTGGGATGCTAGATCAAAAACTGTTGGGATTTAAAGGTGGACAATGGAGTTTTTCTTATTGTATAGTGAAAGTGTTTTTTTGGGGGGGAGGTTGGGTTTGTTGTGAGTTTTTTTTTTGTTTTTTTTTTTTTTTTCCAATATGTACAAAAAGAAGCGGGATTTTAGTTGCAGCACTTGGTGGATGACAAAAAAAATCCTTCTGGAGCTCTATGTTCTCCAAGCCTTATTAGGAAATGTTATAATTGATAATTCTTAAATTTCTTTTTAGTATTAGAATGAACTGTCACAAAGTAGACAAGGAAATATGGAGGATACACTTGGCTGTTACTCATCTGATGCTAAAATACCTGACAGTGTTTATTCTAAGTAGTGGAAGACTTTATTTAAATAGTATTAGGATAAGGCTCCTTTTTGGAAACTAAAGCATAATGCTTTTCCCCTCCCATCACGTGTTTCAGATTGCAAATAAGCAGAGTGGATAGTTGACTGGCTAACTTACCTCCCCTTTGTTTTTTCTTTCCAAATAATTTTCACTGGTCTCTGCACTGGTAGAGCTAGGGACTAGAATTCATTATATTTTGTGGCAGGTGGAGCTTTTACTTGGCTGTATTCTAGGGCTCTATAAGGCAAGCCAAATTCTCTAGTATTATTCCAGTAAAATTCTGATTGACTGGCTCTGCAACATAGTAGTAAACCAGGGTAGATTTCTCCTCCAAGTTTTGCTTTTGCTCGCAGCAGGTCAATATGGTGTCTCAGTGGGATTTGAGACAAGCAGCATTATTTACACTGATGGCAACATGCTGCTTCCCTGATAAATGTCAAATAGTGTGAATTTGGCAGGCTATACAATGTCCTCCCAGAAGAACAGACTGTTTCCTTAGGAAGGATTGGTAAGGATAAAAAACACTGTGGTAGATATTACTAAATTACCATACAAACAATTTTGTTTTTGCAGCTAAACAGTAAGTGATGTCAGACTTTGGTTGTTCTAAGCCTTCCAATTTTTGAATGAATTTTTGCTTGGATTAATTGAATTCTCCCAGTTCAGGAAGTCCATGCTCTCATATAATACATTACTGACTCTCCTATATATTAATTTATCTGTGTATCATTGAAATTGTAGTAGTGCCATCATGAAAGATACTAATTGAATCCTTGGAAAATTAATGGAAAGGCATAAAGGTGTTTATTGGCCATTCAGTTTTGATTTCATTCTACTAACATCTCATTGTTACATGCCTGATTATTCTAATAAACAATTAAAATTCTTTGCAATTTTACATCTGCTTTGATTGTGGTGCCCTTTTCAGGAAATTTTTTTTGACTGGTTGGTTTTGTGTTTGGGTTTTGTTTTTTACTTAAGGAGATGAAGTATGCAAAGTTGTGATTAGACCCTTGGCTTAATTACTAAATTTCCCTGGGTAGATATGTACAGAACTGACTTGCTGCTTCTTAAGTGTTTGCCATGCATCTTAGGTGGATACTTACCCTGTTTCAACTTGCTGGCCAGCATGCCTCTTACATACAGCCTCCCACAAATCCCTCGTGGGAGTCTGAGAGACTTGAGTCCTGCCTTTTCAATACTGGAGAATTAGATTAGTAGCCAGACTGCTAGGTAGTTCTTGGCATGTGAAGTTCATTATGTATCATTCTACATAATGAAGCTGCTCTCATTATGTTAAATAATGTATATGGGGCCATGGAGAAGGAAAGGAATTGATACTGGAGCTAGCTTGTCTGTGCATGTACTGCAATGGGAGGGCAAGACTGAAGTGTGGAGAAAGCAACATCTCTAGCAAGGAAGAATGATCATTTGTCCTAGAATATCCAGTGGCCTGCTTGAGATGTGAAAAGCCTGTGTTTATGTCCCTGTGACAGGGCAGATTTGAGAAGCAGTCTCCTATCACCAAACCCATGCTCCCTTCCTGGTTGCTGGGTTACAGTAGAGGACAGAGTCTTCTCATGAGTCTTCTCACAGTGTAACTTAGCTGTCTTTCTTCAGGAAAGATCTCAGAGCTGGAAGTGCTGGATGCAGTTGGTGGCTCCTTCTGCAAGGGCTTGTAATTTAGGCTGTGATCCTACCTAGGGCATTTCTCTCCAGCTTTGACAGCTGCGTGCTGAATGTCAAAGTGTTAGTTCTCTCTCCCACTAAAACTGGTACCAGATGGTGGTAGTGTGACTTGTAAAGTCTACTGTGCATTTATCCCTGGGCAAAGAGAATTTACTGCTTTAAGTATTGTACTACCTCAGTCCCAGAAAAAGATACCGTTTTAGTAATATCCTGTGGCAGAGACCTGTTGGGAACTAGAAAATGTATTGACCTGCAGCAGTGAGCTCTCCACTTGAGTAGACAGTGCAAAAGCAGCCCTGGGATCTTGCACAGTGATGCTGTGAAGCTCTCTCACAGGGTGAGCCTGACACAGGTCTTCAGAAGTGTCTGTGTATCCAACCCCACAACTGCTGAGCTATTTTCCAAGGAGTCCCGAGGAAGATTAGAAGAATGCATCTGAATTATATTGCCAATACATGGCTCTAGTTTTAATGTGCACCTGTTTTTCAGGAGTAGATGATGGCTGTGCTTCCTAGTGATCAGAGAGCCTTAGAAGGGGATTTTCCATGCTGAGTACTACTGATACTCTGTTAGCTCAGGCACTAAGAGCTTCTTATTTTGGATTGACATCTCAAAAGGATGTGCCCATCATAAAAACTATGAAGAAATTTAAAATTACAGAGACTGATTTAAAGTTGCTATGTAGAGCACTAACAGGCTACAGAAAGATGCTCTTGAGTTGCATGAAACAGCTGACTGCACAATGTTGTACCAACACAAGAGTTTCTCACAGCTTGCAGTGTTCTCACTGCTTTTGTTTTTAAATACACTCCTAAGGACTAACTTTCCTGGTGTCCTAGTAATCACTTTTATCATTGCTGCATTCTCCTCAGGACATGACTTGCGACTTTTAAATAATGTTCTTGTTTGTTTTACGGATTCTAGGTTGGCCTTATCATAGGAAATATGCAGTGTGGTTGTTACCAGCTCTCTTTGTTCTGTAACAAGATGAATAAGTTTGTCAGTTCAGGACTGCATATTGCTGTGCTGATGATCCCCTTCCCTTGAACCTCAGCTCAGCTGCTGCATGCTACTTCACTTTGTGCTAAATTTGCAATCTTGACTTCATTGAAGTGCAAAATTGCCTTGCTTGTCAAAAACTGGTAATACATACAAAACAATCCAGTACTTTATTTTTTTTTTTGGCTCAAGTTGAGGCTTACATAGACTTAGAAAGAGTTTCAGAATTTCCACATTATGTGAGCAGCTGTTTATGGTGTACAAACCATGTTAAATATTGAAGAATTTAGATCTACTCATATTTGTGCGTCATTTTAGTGCTGTAGTAAACAGCAGTATCCATCAAAGTTGAGCTTAAATGGAAAAGCAAATGATGTGTGAGTTGATTTTTGGCAATAGATTTGTTGTAGGGTTTTTTTGTTTGTTCTATACACTCTATCATAGAAGCTGGCCATCAAACTTACTCCACAAATCTGCCACAGTATTTAATAATAAATTGTATAGATTTATCCTGAACTATACTGAAAGCATCTTTCATTGTATTATTTATGGTTAATTGCAGGTGAATCCAGTGGTGGTAAAGGCAGGGATACAGCATTAATTACCACATTTTACACACACTTGTAAGGAGGTTGATATAGACGTCCTATCTTCATGCCAAATGAAATGGATTTTCTGTTCTAGTACTAGGAAGAGGGCATCTTGCATCAGGACATTACACATAGGAAGAATTTGTATTCAATGATTCTTTCCCTAATTTAGTTCTTTTAAAGATAAAAGAAATAGCATGTGATACTTACAAGTAAAGCAAAATCTCTATGCCTTTTAAAGCAGTAAATACTTCCAAAATCTTCTTGCATATTGCATGCTATGTGACAAAATTTGTCTTACTGAATTTGAACCTCCTGTCCTGTCCTACAACCTCCTTCCTCCTCAGTGAAGTATGCTTATGCATTAAATGTGAGTTTTCTAAACTGTTTTACTGAGCATGTTTTTTGTTTTGCTTTCTTTTTGAAGTGGTATTTACTAAGGAAATATTCATTTAGATAGAAAGGAGGAGGATTATCAAGCTCTTCTGAAATAGACTGTAGTCCACATTTTCCCATATTTGGTCAATTCCTTGGCTTTACTACACTCATCTATCTACTTCTGGTGTGATGAAAGTTTTGGTAATAAATGTTTGAAGCCCCATTAAGGCTGGAATTTAGTTTTCACTGCTGTTGATCTTGACTCTTAAAAATAAAATAGGCATTAGTGTATCCCAGCCAACCACAGAGCTATTGCCAATGAAGATGTCTTACAATTAGGATGTATTCTCAAAGCTCTTGAGAACTTTGTTTATGCACAGACAGGAACTGTGCGCTCTAATTACCCAAAATTTTGAAATTCATTCATACTGTTTCTGCCAGTAAAGGTTCAGAGGCTGAATTCTTCTGATAGGATCTATAGCAAGAAGGTTTCCTCTTGAAGGGGGCTATATCAGAGCAATGTACTAACAAATTGTGATTTGGCGGTGGTTACGATCAGAGTTTCTGGTGTGTGTGGATTTGGTTGGACTAATTGGTTGGACCTATCAGATGGATAGGTGAAGTGTCATTTACCTAAGCAGAATTTGTTTTATAGACAGGCAATCTTTATCAGATCTATTAAGCCTGGCACTGCACAGTGTAATAGACTGGATGTTATGGTAGTTTCCAGGCTCCCATTTTGCATTCCTGAGCTACACAATTTTAAATGTCTACCAAAAGTCTCACTGAAATGCCTCCAGAAAATCAGAACCTTTCTTAATCTAGAGTGAGAATGTGAAAAATGTGCCCTCGGTGTTTCCTGTGGAGCCCCTTCTGGACTAGCACGGCAGTCCTGTTGGCTCAGGACAATTTAGTGGTTTCCTGACTTGCCCTCATAAAAGATTCCTTACCTGGATAATCCCTTCCTATCTTGGCTTGCATTTTCATTTGGCTCCTATTTGACTTTCGTGCTATATTTCTTGTTTTTGTGCCTGTAATGGGTTGACCCTGGCTGAACACCACGTGCCCACCAAAGATGCTCTATTCCTTCTCTACTAAACTGCACAGGGTAGAGAAAATACAACAAGAGACTCGTGGGTCGAGATAAGGACAGGGAGAGCTCTCTTACCAATTACCATCACAGGAAAAACAGAGTCAACTTGGGGAAAATTAGTTTCATTTATTACTAGTCAAAGCAGAGAAGGGTAATGAGAAAAAAACCCTAAGTCTTAAAACATCTTCCCCGCAGCCTTCTTCCTGTGCTTAAGTATACTCCTGAATTAATCTTCTGCCCTACAGTGGTTCAGGGGAATGGGAAATGGTAGTTACAGTCAGTTCATTACAAGTTATTTCTGCCACCCCTTCTTCCTCAGGGGGAAGAATCTTCACACTCTTGTCTTGCTCCAGTGTGAGGTCCCTCCTGGGGCAGACAGTCCTCCATGAACTTTTCCAATGTGAGTCCTTCCCAGGCTCTGCAGTTTGTCATGAACTGCTGCGGTGTGGGTCCCTTCCATGGAGAGCAGTCCTTCAAAAACAGGCTGCTCCACACTGGCATGGGGACCTCCATGGGCTGCAGGTATATATTTGTCAGACACACAGGGAGTTTCTGGCAGCTTTTCACAGAAGCCACCCCTCCCCTGTGTCATGCAAACCTTGCCATGCAAACGTAGTCAGTGCTTCCAAAGTAAAAGGCGGTAATTTTGTGTTTCTTGCTGTTGTTTTAAAAAAGGTAAAGTGAAATATTTTTGAGAGGTCGCAAGTGCTTTGCATACATTTATCATTTTGTTGGTCAGATTGTCATTATCACATTATTCTTCTATTAGGGGTATATGCTGAAATGGCTGTGGAATGTTTTTCTAACACAAACTGAGCATTTTATTTTACTGTGTTTTACAACAGAATTTGAGTCATTAAGGCTTGCCACAGAATCAGGCTTGTTTGATATTTTTATTAGTGACCTTGTCACTAATCTTCATATGATGTAGATTGTGAGATAGCTTCTGTACAGAGGAGAAATAAACTAATGTCGGAAGATCTGAGTTAACTTTGCAATGTTGAATAGAGAAATATACAAGAGCCCGGTGTATAAAACCAGTAATAAGATTTTTTGCTAGAAATTTTTTAACTGGACAACTCAACAAGGAGGGATACTTGAGTGCTTTAAATGAGGAGAATGAAGTATTGTCATGATACCGTCTTGAGTAAAACAAGTGCAAGGAAAGGATAACTGAGGAGATGTGGTAGTCAATGTGCTGGTGAGGCCATCCTGACAAGGAGACTGCATTCTGCTCAGCTTTGACAAGGCATGCATCTGGGTGCTCCATGAAGCATGCTTGTTTCAGTACCTTTCAAGAGCAAGATTCTACTCAAGAACACAAATAGAAATGATTACAGTGACATTATGCAAGAACAACTGGGTGTCTGTGATACATTGTCTGTGGAGGATGTAAAAAATGACATTTCTGATTTTCATGCTCTGAGTGATTGTATGGTGGTTTCCAGAGAATTAACAAAATATGTACCCACATTTTTGGTGCTTGTTATGCTGTGTTATTTTTCAATCTTACAATGTTATGTATTCAGGCTTTATGCATACATTTATGTGTACGTTATGAGAAAATTGTGTTTCTCTCTAAACTTAAGGTTTTGAAGTATTAGAAGTTTTCTGTGTCAGTAACAAGAAAACAAATGCCCAGTAAGCTTTTACACAGATAAACATTTTGACCATTTGAAGTAGTATAGATAATTTTATTCTAGAATAGAGATTGTAATGGAAAATAAGTAGTGAATCCAATAACAGGTCTGATTTAGTAATTTAGATGACAGTTGGGGGAGGAAGATGAGGTATTATGCAAATATTTTGATGGAAACAAAAAGGTTCCTACAAAAGAAATGGGGATGACTGGAATGTGAGGAGCCTCACTGTTACCTGTATATTTTACCTGTGTCTGTAGATGATGGTGCACAAAAGGGAAATATACTGAGATGGTCATTGAAAACAGGTAACAGTATAAGGGAGCAAGAACATAAAATGGTGCCTCTGTAAATTAACTGCACCTAATTTATTGTTTTGCTCATTGGACTATTCTTTATGGTTGCATGTGGAATGACTGAAGACATGGTAATTCTATTCTCCAGCAGCAGCGCTTCTAAGATACTTGTCTAATGTAGGCAGAGAATGGGAAGGAACCGAGACATGTCTTGGTTCCAGTGAAGATCTACTTTGCAACCCCTGTCCCAGCCCATGGATTTTTGCTTCCCAGGCACCTCTTGAGAGCTTTACAATGTGTGACATATACTTGAACAAAGCCAGGTTGTCCAAGAATCTGCATGTAAAACTCACCTCCTCTCATTGACTAGTGCCAGCTTCTCCATGGCACAGAGATGTTGTTTTGGGCAGTGAACATTGATGACTTCCATCTGCTTAGCTTTGCAAGCCTTCAAGTAACATGCATCACTCCATCAGGTATTACCAAGTCTCTAGTAAATGTACCCCTGTCCTGACTGTACTTTTTCATTTCAATTTATCAGTCTTGAAAATGGTTTTACTATTCCTGGGCCATTGACAACCCTAGTATGAAAGTATTAAATTTTCACACCTGTGTGTACTTCCGCAGTTCCCAAAGAGTGACTCAGGCTTCTTTATCAAACAGTAAAATTAGTGTTTCTTTCAGGAAATACCAGCTTCTTCTGGTATTTCCTTCTTCTAGTCCTCTGCTTCTTTGGATTGCAGATGCAGAATAATAAATAAAAGGGACTGACAAGCTTCTATGCAGGAAGGAAACCTGGAATTTAAGAGGGATTCTTTGATATATCAACTGTGAGCTGGCAAATACATGAGCCATGAACAAGAATAAAGCTGCGACAGTTTCAGATAAATTCAGGCCAACAGTATTGCCAGTGACAGATTTGTACTGCAATTAACAGGATTAGGGACCAGCATTCTGGTCATTACTGGAATACTTCCAAGTGATTTGATTTTTTTTTTTTTTTAAGATTTCTTTTCGACTTAATTTTCTGTTTCCTTGACAAGAATAGTGAAGCACAAATGGTGTAGCAGACAGACACAGTGTCACTCTTGTCGCTACTTAAGGTACTGTTAGTACCTTGAATACCACCTAACCTACTCTCTGTTACTGCTCTGTCACTTGGCTGGAGAGAACTGCTGTTGGATGATGGAGGAAAGACGTCACTGCCTGCTTTCTCTCCCTTTGATTTCTGCTCTGAGTTTTGGCAGGGTTCTCTGGGAAGGCTGGAGGGAAGGGAAGCCAAAGGCACAGTTGGTGTGGTGCAGGGCAATGCTTGGGAATGGTATCATCGGAGAGGCATAAAACATAGGATTTTTTTATATATAGCAAGTGGTTGTTTCCTCCTGTCTGTATTTAGACCCTATGTGTACCCTATCTATCCTCAAGTCTTTGTCTTCTGGAAAGCAGTTTGTATCTTAATTAGAAGACATTCCCATATCATATCTAAAGTATTACATGTTTTACATCATATTTAGGTGCAGTGTCGAAGGTCAGAATTCTTTAGATACCTTTCCAGAAGGAAGTTCAAGAGATGTTAGTCTTCCTCTAAAGTGCAGAGAAGAAAGGCAGAGGCCAAGTCCTACTCCCAAAAGTCAGTAGAATGTTAAACTCTGATGGATTTCCTATTCCTGTACTTCCTTATCTGTATTTTGGTTTCTCATGCAGCCTAATAAGCACTATTTGGTTGAAGAATATCTTTCAGAAGGACATCCAGACTTGCCTGAAGACATCAAGTGATGGATAATTCACCACTTCTCTTACTTAACGAATGGACAGGAGTAGTTGATGAAAGGCTAATTCATTCCCTGGTTCAGTTGTGCCTGGTGAATTTATTGCCTATGGCTGATGTGAAAAAGCACTGGCTTTATTTCTGAAAGAGCAGCAATGTGGTAACTTGGTTTGCTGAATACTTGCATTTTAACAGCTTCTTCTGTAGAAGACTAGAGTTCCTAGTATATGGTAGTTATTTTTCTGGAGATAGAAAGAATAAATAAACCCTTCATGGCTGGTAAGTTGCATCTAGAATGTTTTTATATCATCAGAGAAATAGATAGACATTGGAGAATCTTGTTTTGAGCTTGAGCCTGAAAAAAGCTGTGACTCTAACCTGAGAATCCTTAGCTTCATAGTATTCAGTTTGTATAGGTACTGCATCACATGGAGTGTGACGCATTTAGATGTCTTCACTCTGGTATTCCAGCCACAGGTAAAAGGAGCTCTTGTTTCTCACTTTATATGCTATTAAATCTATTTTCATCAGTTTTGGTATTTTTGTTCTTCAGGATCAAGCTATGGTTATATTTGTGAGTATTACTCGGATAGTGCTTGATTATAGTTTCCATTGCTTTTGTTTGAATGTTTATTTTAAGAATGACAAGTATTTTTTTGTAACTTTGCAGAGTACAGATGCCAATTCAAATGTGAGGAAAAGAACAAATGCCACAGTACAGTCTGAAGCTGATGGTGGGAGCCGAATTGACACAAGGCACAGCTCCGTCCAGCCTCCCTCTGTAGCTCAGGGGTCTTCTGACATTACACCCCACTCCCTTTCTGCATCAAGTCCCAACCCTTTCACACGAATCAACGCATCGGAGACATTATCTTCTGCAAGAGCTACCCCTCCAGCTCCTCCTTCTACCCCAATTTTAACTGGATTTGTATCCCAGCATGCCACAGCTGGATCCCCTTCCATTCAGCACTTGCTTGGATCTAGACTGGAGCAGATTCAGACCACCTCACCTAATACATTAGGAGCATCTGCAAAGCCATCTGCTGTCATACCACCTCCTCCCCCCGCCTCCCACTCTGGCACGAGTAAGATAGACAAATATGCACGCATTTTATTTCCTGTTACCTTCGGAGCATTTAACATGGTCTACTGGGTGGTGTATCTATCCAAGGATACCATGGAAAAATCAGAAAGTCTAATGTAGTTTTGCTGCTATGTAGTAGTTCCTAAATTATACTCACATTTGATGCAGAGTTTCTTCTTTTGAAACTATTTAAAAAGGTCAGTAACTCTTATTTATAAAAGCTGTGTGGTACTTTCCCATTCTAAAGGCTGGAGATATTGGGGATAATTAGTTAACTCTTAAGAGAGTAATGGGTAACAGTAATGGTCTTCCTCCCTTCAGCTAGCAATGAACCAACTACTCTGGCTGCACAGAACTTGCATTTGGGAGGAACATGCACCTGAAAAAAATCAGAGGCAGAGGTGCACAGCTGTGCAGTGGAACACATCTGACTGCTAGGAATGTGCATGTTGGCTATTACAAATGCCTGAGGCACCTAGCACTGCTGTCTGGACACAGCATTGCATTCTCTGAGTGTGAGGTCTATGTCCTGTATTTTTTGACAGTGCTTGCTAGAAAAAGACTTTCCCTGATAGATTAAAATTGACAGAATAGGGGGAAGAAAATCAAGAGCGGCAAAAAGGAAGAAAGTCCAGCCTGGGAGAGTGCAACTCCAGGAAAGTTATGCAAAGGAGTTGTAGAGCTCCATATATTTTTACTAAGCATTATTTTGCATTGTAACCTGGGAAATTCTCACACCAAACTAAGAATGAGTGAACCTTGTAAAATCTGAAATCTGATGTAATTCTCGAAATTGGATTTTCTTGTTTGGTAAGGTGATCTCAAGTGGGCAATTCTTCTTCGACCTTGCTGACCAGCTTGAGTGGATTTATTCCTAAATTACATCAGTTGTAGCAGATGAGGACCAGACCACAATGTTCAACTTTTAATTTGAATTCTTTGCTTTTTCTTTGGATGCTTTAGGGTTTGGATATTTGTTTGGTTTTGCTTTTTTCCCCATACTTTTCAGTTACACTCCTGATTTCCTTTAAACACATATCCATTCCCCTCTGCACACACCTCCTTATGTATTGTTTGTATCAAGTTAAATTTTCAAGACAGTTTTAAAAGTGGCTTGAAAATTAAGCAAAAAAAGCCCCATTTCCTGCGCATAGATAAGTGTGGCATGTCACTGAGTAAATAAAAGACACCCTTTTTGAGAAGGACTGCTGTGATATAAATAAGAAAGTAAACTTTCTAGGTGGATCCCTGGCTAAAAATGTTAATTTATGATCCATTTCTTTACTTTAAACTGTGGCATAAATAGGTGCTTTTCTTTCTAAATTGCAGTATGCAAGCAGGCAACATTATTAAAAATTGAATAGTTAAACCTAATAGAAATCCTGATCATAAATGTTATTTTCACTATAAGAGGTAGAAAACAAATTGCCAATAAATAAAATAAATGTTTGTACAGAACTGTCTGGCTTGGCAAATGGTTAGTGTTTCTGTGCAGGTGACAAGGGAGAATCAAAGGCCAAATTCTCAGCTATGATCTGGCTGTGCCTTTAAAGGGTCTGGACTAGTCTTTAGCTTAGATTGGTAGTCTATTGTCAAAGTTGTATGCTGCAGGGCAGATCAGGTGAGTGTTGAGTGGTTCTGTGTTCAGATAATTATCAAGGGATTTATGGACACCACAAGCTGCTGGCAAAAAAAGGCCTGCATAAGACTGCCTTAGACTATGCTGGGACAAGAGTCAGAGTAAAAAGACCCCATAATGGTGAAACTATGACAGTGCCTCTGTCTCTCCAAGCCTTTTAGCCATCTCATGGCTGAGAATCTGACCTTTAACTTGTGGGATCTGGGAGATACCTGGCAAGAGTACATCTCAATACCTGTCATTGTTGCATCTCTCATCTGTACTATGGATCCCAGATGGTTCTTTCATGTGCAATAATGAACTGTAGATGATAGAATGCAGTGGGAATGTCTTACATAACTTTATTATAATGGAGTATAATCAGTTGCCTTAGTCTTTCTTTTACTTAAGGGATGCTCTCAAAAGGCCAGGTATGGTTCTTTCCTTTTTCATCTTTTACATCTGGAAGATGGATGAGACTACAGCACTCATTAGAAAAACATTACATGGCATATCGGAGCACTGGAAATGGAGCATCCGTGCAAGATGTCTAACTGCAGTAGTTTGTATCTTTGGATGTACTGCTAGTTGCTGTAGCTGTTTCCCCTCTAATTAGGTCACATTGTTACAAATTGTTAGAATAGAAGATGGTATGCAAGGGATTATTTATTTGGCTAAACCAGAATAAACAAAGCTAAACCTCTGGCAACTACTGATCATAATTGAGCAAATAATAAAATACTTCTAGCATGAAGAATGGTGACCTGTATGGAGAACCTAGTATTTGCACCAGAAATTAATGAAATTACGCTTTGATGAAAGCCTAGGATGTTTCTTTCTAATGCTTTCCTCTGTGATGAAAACCTAGGATTTTTTTTTCACAGGCAGAGCTTTAAACAACTAATTAGAAACAGTTATCTGTTCTTTCTACCTATCCCTGTATACTGATTTTATAATCAGCTTTTTCAAGTGTGTTGTTCAGTGGGATCAACACTAGTTCAGGCTAAGACTGATCTAAATGTGCTGCTTGAATTCACTTGTAGTTTCTGTTTAAAGGCCTATAAAGAGGGAAAAGGGCTGAAAAATAATAAATTACAGATACTTATTTCTATGCTTCCATTTTGGGAGAAAATTTTAGTGATACCATGGAAAAAGTTACGTATTTTAAATATCTAGTGTATTCCTGAAATATCTTCCAACACTTCCATGCCTAAATTCAAAATGAAGTATATTAAAAAAAAAATCATGATAAGCCTAGGACTAATTTATTGAACTGTACTACATTTTTATGTTGCAGCATATGAAGAAATTTCCACAATTACCTTTCCCAAGTACACGTGGACAATGTAAATAGGAAATTACTGTTAACAGTAGTTCTTCATTATTTTTAATCTCCCTCGATGATCAGAAACAGTAAAACGAAAAAGAGCCTGCAATATACTCAGTGATACTGTAACTTGAAAGTACAAAAGGAGGACTATACTAAATATAGCAGCCCGAATGTTCAAAACTGCTAACTGAAATCCTAAGGGAGAATGTTGCAGGGATCATTTCAGTGACCAAATAGCTTATTAGAGATGAGTTTCGGGGAGATGAACTCTACAGGAGCTATATTTTTAGGTTTTTGTTCTTTTTTCCTATTGGCTTTGTTGAGCAATCTTTTTTTTTTTTTTTTTTTTTTTTTTTTTATAGTATCATAGTGGTTTAAAACTAACCAAAGACTTCAGATATCTTCACATCTATCAACAGGAAAGGAAAGTGGAGGGAAAGACAAAAATCTTTACAAGGAAACAGAGATAGTTCTCCACTGATATTTCCTCAGAGACATTGTTACCAGCAGCGAAACTCCCACAGATTGCAGAGATGCAGCCCTGACCACTAATGCAGTCACTTGAGAAAAACACTTAAAAACTTGCTTCAGGAAGATTACCTTCACGGGAACTGAAGAGTAGTTTGTAGGCAATTGTGAGCCCATGATTAACAGGTTTCACTGCAACTGTGACAATAATGAAGATGAGAAAGGTGGCAAACTTAGACCCCAGACCTTCAAGGTGTCCTGAACTCTTGGAGCTCACCAGCAGTACTGGAATCTGTTTTTCCTTCTATTAAAATGGACTTATCTCCATCAAATGTAGTGCATTTCTTCTCCCATGTGTCTTTGAAGGGGAAAAAAGATTTTAAACTATTTTGTTATCCACTCTACATTACGCTTTCATTGGGCAAGTAAACTGGACAATAATTGAATGAAAGAGATAAATAGTTTGATAAGGAATGTGATTAGAGCTCTTCTGTTAACAGGAGAGGAGAGTTATTGATTACAGGGTGTTCAAGTGTAGCCTTTGGCATCTCATTGTCATCCTTCAGGATGGACCTTACCAAAAAAATGGGGAAACCAAGTAAATGTATTTAATAGGATTAACCAGTATTTGTACAAAGAATTGAATGAACTCAGCTTTCTGATATATCCAGAATTCCATCTTCTTTCACTTAATGTGCACCTCGTGTATGTCATTTGGCCTCAGTGTCCCTTAATGCTGTAGCTCATTGTCTGTATGCCATGTGAGAACATCAGGGTATGCAGTATCTATTTAATCAATTTATCCAAAGCCTAACTTCCCATGTTCCTTGTGCTGCTAGAAGTGTAGGGAAGGCCAGAATGGAAGAATGACACACAGGCATTGTAAGAGACACACATTGGCCATCTGAGACATTCTCCCATAGATATTACAGACTCCTTAGGAGACTCTTTTTCAGTGTGCCATAGCACACTATGCATACAAATCCCAAAAGCTGCCAAGAGATCTGTTTGGATAGCAGAGTAGATCATGGACTTTGCACACTTCCTATAACTTTTGCTTGACTTAGAAGATTAAGGAGGAAAGAAATTTTGGTGAGTTGTACCTTATCTTCCTGGGACTTGCCAAAAGGGCTTGACCTCAGTAAAATAAAAAGGGTTTGTGTGGCTAGCACTGGTTATGAATTGCAATA